AGTATAGATGGTCTTGAATCTTATGGTGATGTGATATATGGAGCAGTACAGGGCTCCTTTATTTATATATTTTTCATCCAGCTCAAAATAAACCCCTTTCATTCCTCATGGTTCGTGACCTGGCCACAGTGATTCATGTGTTAGCCACTTCCAGGTTGGGTTATTTTGACTCATGCTGTTTGGGCCTCAGCGTAAAATTCAGAAGGAAGCCACAGCAGGAGAAATGATAGGGCAGAGGTAAAACTGTGGGACTGTGCCAGAAGCGCTGCTGAGAACCGATCACATCCTTTGTCAGCAGAGCATCCTGAGAGCTGGTGGAGAAGTACCTTCTGCCGTTGCCTGGAGAACCCTACCTTCTTATTTAGCTGAGGGACCCCATCCTGTATATGGTATATTTTTTTCTCATGGGAGGTCCTCTTACTTAATTTTGCAGCTGGATCAGTCGAGTGACTTGACCAAAGTCACAGAATAAGTCACTGACTCAGAATAAACTGGGGCACAGCGCAGGTCTGAAAACAGAGCAACACATCTCCCAGAGGAAAGGAGCAAGTAGCCCGAAGAGCCGGTGCACCTGTGGCTTTTGCCTTATTGATTGGCAGAGCTTGCTCTTCGAACCAGAGTGAGGTATATAGCACGCGCTTTATTCCTGTTCAGACTCTTGGATATCCAGGTGGTTTGGCTCTGAGAAACGTCTGTCCTCACCGGTGGATGGGTTCCAGGCACCAGTGGGAGTGCTGAAAGGGATTATCTGATGCCTTGCGAAAGAATGAGGCTCATGGATAAGAAATGAGGCCACGTCCTATAGGCGGTGTAGGTCCCTTACTGAAGGTATTGCAAGCATTGGAAGGGTGTTGAGTAGGTGGGACTTGGGATGTTCTCCAGCCCGCTGCTGCACGTCCTCCGATGCTGAGCTGCTACAGTCATGAGTACAAGAACAGAGACCTGGTTGTTACAGTGTGTGCTGGTAGGTGGGATATTCAGGTATGCCAGAGCCGTTGTTCCCCTGGCTAGAAAAACTGAGGAGTTTTATGGATCTGCTGTCCTCAGAAATTTGGGGAATCAATGAATCTTTTCACTAATTTGGGAGCAGCAGAGAATGATTCCTATTGGGGATCTCTGTTCATGCCTTGGTTGCAGGGGTGTTAGGTTTCAAGGCTTTGAAAGCAATATTAAGAATTTGCAGGGTTTGTGTGAAGGTGGGCAAAGGAAGCTCTTGCAACTGTTGCCATGTTTATGTTCCTCCCAGAGGTTGCAAAGAGTTGGGAATAGGAGGATTTTCGAAAAAGCTGAAGGGATGGGAAACTAGGCAGTTTAACCAAAGGCATTGCCCTTATTGAAAATAACTTCAACGTTGCAAAGCATTGTGTTATTTCTAAGCCTTGTGTTCAAAGCAGAGGGTTGGGCATCTCGATTCGTGAGCTGTGTTCCTGTTCCACCTCTAGCTAAGGGTGTGTCTTCAGGCAAGCGATTATGCTGCTTACACCTCAGTTTCCCTTCCTGCAGAGTGGAAAGAAAAGAGCTAAAGTCATTGCAGGTTTGAGAAGCTTAAAACATTACTTTCTGGAAAGGTCTTAGAAGATTTCCCTGATGGAAGATGCTAGTTTAATGCAAGTGATGGTGATGTTGGTAAAAAACAGACCACATCTGTTCTAGTTGATTAAAATAGTACAGCAGCGTTTCAGATGTAAATATTAATTGATTTCTGCACTGCAGATTTCTTCTTGGATATTTAAATTGTTGCTAAGGAGGAGGGAAAGGCTATCAGGGAGATTAACAAATCCATTATTAAGGCTGGAAATGGAGGGCTGCCGAAGTGCCATTTAATAAAATGTAAAAAGCCCCTTTCTAAAGGGCGAAGCAGCAGAACACACAATGAAAGTGAATCACAGCTGCCAGAAGGGATGCCAAGCAGCAAGCACTTATAATCAGAAAACTGTACTTACGGATCATTCGGAGCCACTAAATTAAATGATCTCATTCTCCCCTAAAATACTTTTCCCTTAGCCCCTCCCCAGTGTTGCCTGTGGATTGCTCAACCACATTTAAAATGTGACTTTGGGGGGTTTCTGGTCAGCAGTTGAATAGCATCGGGCCCCTTCGTGCCATTCACTTTCCACCCACTTTTGTTTCTCTCACATACAACTCTGGCATTTTGCAGGCTGACCTGCCCACACGAGCACTTGGGATGGCAACTGAAAGATTTTGCAGATCTGCTGTGGTTCCGTGGTTGGCTTGCCTGCCTCTTCAGGGCTCCTTCTTTGGGAAGATGTCCCACAGTTTATTCTCAAATTTGTCTTTGTTTCACACAGAATTTTTTTTCTAATTGTACATTGTTTACTTCAGAAACAAAGACTTGGAAGCTGAGCTGATGTGTAAATGGAAGAGCTGATCCTACACCATTTCACACAGAACTGATCCTGCTCTTACTTCATTCCAGTGCTGATTTAATTCACTATGTGTATCAGTGTCCCCCTCCTTCATACTCTCTTGTTTTGTATATTGAACTAGCTTCAGGAAGCTGACACTTTGATATGTTCCTAAACTACCCCTTCATTTTCCAGCCATGGCTTTCCCTATTTAATCCCTAAAGTGGCACCACATTATCTCCAAATGTGCCATCAGAAAAACGAGTGGTGGATGCTGACAAGAACCTGTCATGCAGTGATTTTGGGGCTTCATCATGGGTTGGTTTTTTTTCGGGGGGGGGGGGGGTGGGTTGGGGTTTTTTTAATGTTTAGTATTGCTAATCCTGGGAGGCAAATGGCTCCCTGGTTTTGGAAGCAGGTTAGATGAAGCACAGTTACAGCCCAGAAATGCTCTTGCATTAACCCCGCTGTTGCAGAGTGGTGTGTGCACCTGTGTCCTTTTCCCTTTGTGAGTAATCCAAGATCATAAAAGTACTCCCTGAGACTGCTCAAATTTGAAACTTTCCATGTGCTTTTAACAATCTGCTCTATTAGCAGTTTCCAGTGTAGCAAAAAGAGGTGGGGAGAGAGAATACTTCCTTCCCTGAGTTCTGCCCCACACAAAAGCCAATTTTTACAAGTGCTGTGGTCTGGCTCGGTGTACGTACGTGAACAGAGGCTGTCCTGCCTGAGTGAGGGCTGGGGCTTGCTTTTCCGCAGTGCAGAATGAGGGAGGTATGTCCCTGAAGGTGTCCCAGCTTCCTTTATTCTTCAACTGTCCCATCTTAAGAGAAACAAAACAAATCAACCCTTTGAGATTCGGAGTTGAAAAGGGCTGTGTAAGAACTGAATAGTGGTATTATTTTTACCTCCATCAGCTGCAAGCCTGCAGTTTTCTGAGGAAACCTCAGAAATGGTGAATCAGCGAAATGTGTTTAAAGAAAAGTTAGCTACCCTGAATCCACCTTTTTTCAGGCCTTCTCAAGTTGAGTGCTGCCAACTCTTGCAACTTCATCCTCAGTCTCCTGACATTTTGTGCTCTGCTTAAAGCTCTTGCTACCAGACACAAGCCATTAATTGAGAGTCTCAGCTTTTCTGTGTTTTTTTAAAGGTACTTTTCCAGCTCCCATTCTGATGGAGGAATGCTTGCAGTCATAGCCTAAAAGTTCAGAGCCATGAAACATAATCCCAATTAGAACTACAAAACAATCCTTGGACGGTTTCTAAGTCAGTATCAGTTTGAGATTCAGATTTTTACCCTGGATGTTCTGAGTCTGATTTTGAATGTTCTCCGATTGTTCCCTTTATGAGTGTAGATGAAATATTTTAATATCATACAGTTAAACGCTAACCGTTTTTTAAGCTCCATTCCAGCAAATGCTGAAGTAGTTGGCAAAATTCAGCCACAGAAGTGATCATGAGAGTTTCTGCCTGTATGAAAATCAGGACATAAATACATTACCAAGATGCTGAGAAGAGTGGAGATCAGACTGCAAGGTGTAGGTGTGACAGGGTTTATTAAAATGTTGAGATGGTCACTGTTGTTACTTGTTTATGTGCTGCTTCAAATATACAGAATGGTCCCCATAGTGAGATTGCTGTCTGTGACATCTGTTGTCTATGGTCTCAAAGGACTGTGTTCCCATTAAAAAATGGGACTTGCACCTCTGCCTCCCATCAGAAAAACCGTATCGGTCACTCCAGGTATGACTTCCCAGGGCCTGGCACCTTGCTTTTAGTTACATCTCCACAGGTGACATGTGGAAAGCTCCCACCCTGTGGCTGCAGCTTTTTCTTTTGTAGCCTTTCTTTGCTTTATTCTTGCCCCGGTCCTGGCACTTCTACCTGCGGAAAGCCCTGGTGTTTGCAAGGAGAGGGATGAAGCGGCTGCGGGTCCCTCCTGCCTCCCAGGCGATGTCCGTCTCGCCCCCAGGGTGCTGGTGGGGCGTGGAGCTCTGGCCTGCAGGCGGCTGTGGTGTGGCAGCACCTGTGGCCCACGGGTGTCTGCCCCAGCCGGCGGTGGTGCGGTGGAGGGAAGCCATGCCCGCTCGCCGCCCCACCGTTTACAGCCGGGCCTACGGACTGGGGGGGTTTGCGCCGCTGATGCACCAGGGGCTGCGAGCTGGCAGCGAGGACAGGACGGGGCAGACCACCCTCGCCTCAGGGCCTGGGTTGGCGCACGGCCATCTCCTCAAGGGCCTGGCCACCCTCACCTGGCAGCCTGGCTGGGCACGGAGCCGTCGCCTCAGGCGCGAGGGCGCACGGGCCGTTGCCCCGGGGAGGGGGTTTGGGCCCGGAGGGCGCTCCCAGCCCCGGCCGGGGAAGGAAGGAAGGAAGGAAGTAGGAAGGAAGGAAGGAGCGAGCGGGGTCTGTGTGGGGCCCGGTGACGACCCCGGACAGCCACCGTCCCACAGTGCTCAGCGGCAGCTGGGGAACTACACTTCCCAGGCGGCCCCGCGGCGGCGGGCGGCGCCCCTCCCCCTCCCGTGAGCCCTGGGCAGAGGTAAACAAAGTGGTGCGAGGCGGCGGGGGCGGCGGGCGCGCGCGGCGGGGCG